TCTCTCCTCATGAACCTGGGCTGCTGGGTTTCCGCCTCCTGGCTGTCGTCGCGCAACATCCCCGCCGTCTACGACGGCACCCAGTACCACCCGGAGTATCGCAAGGTCACGCGGGAGAACATGGAACGAATCGCCGGCCAGGAATGGCTGAACATGGCCGCCCCTGCGGGCGTCTCGCTCTCCCACCCCATCCCGCACGTCTCGCTTGGCCTCGACGCGTACGTCAAGTCCACCAGCCCGCTCCGTCGCTACATCGACGTGGTGGCCCACTACCAGATCGAGGCGGCGCTGCGATTCGAGCACGCCCACAACCGTCGTTTCGACGCCGCCGCCGCATCCGAGACCGGAGACCGCTCCGTCCTCCCCTTCTCCGCGGCCGACGTCGACCGCTGGCTCGCGCGGTCCCTGTCGTCACGCCTTCGGCTGCGCGAGTGCGAGCGCGGCTCCATGCAGTTCTGGGCGTGTCTGCTGTTCTTCCGCGCGTTCTACTTCGCCGAATGCCCGCTGCCGGCGACTTTCGAGTGCCAGCTCAGCAAGCGCTTTGACCAGGCGGACCTGACCGGCACGGCCCACAGCAATGGCTGGGCCGGCATCCTCTCCGCCTTCGGCGTCCGGTGTCGGATCGTCGTGCCCCCCGGCATGCCGGACGCGGACAAAGTGGATGTCATGAGTCTGGTGGAGGCCAAGGTCACGAGTGTCGATATGGCCCGGATGCTGGTCGTCATGGAGGCGACCCGGTTCCTCCGTGGCTCGCATGCGCAGTCCACTTTGGCGGCGTATAGACCTTCCATGACTTAACCGAATGTGTGGGAGTGTGTACAGGGCAGTACAGTCTGGATTCTAGGTGTATATTGTTCTATGCCGTTGTGCACCATGTAAGATAATAGTATATATCCTCTCTTGTCTTAGCGAAGTCTGAAGTCTGAACAACTGTCCTTTGAAAGTACTGTGTAGGTGTGTTTGCGTAAGTGACATCCAGATCTTGGACAACATTCCAAGCCAGCCAACCTCCCAGTAACCCGTTACAGTAAAATTCCCTGCATAGTCAAGTATATCCAGACGTGAGCCCCACGTATGCTCAGGGAGATATACAGCCAGAGAAAACAATCCGATGTACCGCAATTCAAACACCAAACACCTCCTTGACGAGCGTCTTCTTATTGACTACACCAGAATTAGCAACCGTCTAGAGAGACAAGGAAACAGAGAGAAGTGAAGACATCATACCTTTGCCCATGGCATTCCGCGGAATAGGTCCACTCAGGACCTTCATCTCCTGCGGCAACTTATAATTCGCCAGCCGGTCCTTCAGGGCGCGCCGCATGTCCATGGCGCCCCAGGGCTTACCGTTCCGGCCCCCCGCGTTCGCGGCCTCCGGGTTCAGCACCACCACGGCCGCGACCTTCTGGCCCCATTGTTCGGAGGGGAGACCCACGACCGCTGCTTCTGAGATTTGGGGACTGCGCGCGCAGATACGGGGTTAGCTGGGGGATTGTGGGGAATAAAGTCTCAAACCAGGTGGGTAGTGGGGCAATACGTACAGCGAAAGCAACTCACGCTCGACTTCCAGGGCACTCACTTTCTCGCCGCCGGTCTTGATGATGTCGACGCTGCGCCGGCCCTGGATGAAGTACATGGGACCGCGGGCCCAATCGCCACTGGCGCCGGCGCCGGCGCCCTCGACGACGCGGCGGGTCGCGACATCGCCGGTCTTGAACCAGTTGTCGCCCTGTCCGTTTTCGGCTGCGACGAACGACTCGCGCGTGGCGGTGGGATTGGCCCAATACTCCTGGAAGATGGTGGGCCCGCGGAGCTGGATCTCGCCCTCACGCTCGCGGCCGGTGTGCGGGTCAATTTCCTCCCCGGGGAGGATGACCGCGTCGGTATCGGTGTCGACCAGCCGCGCCTCCACGGACGGCAGCGGCCAGCCGACGCTGCCGTCGACGCGGTCGCCGAAGGCCAGGCCGCAGCTGATCGCCATCCCGACCTCCGTCATGCCGTAGCGCTCGAGCAGCACGTTGCCGTGGCTGAGGGCCTGCCACGCCTGCTTCGTGGGCGTCGGCAGCGCCGCGGATCCGGAGATGTTCAGGCGCAGGTGCGCGGGGCTGATGGCCGTGCGGGCGGCGGTCTGGATCTCCGGGGCCAGGGTGGGGAAGGACGCGAGCAGGCGGTTGTAGATGGTCGGGACGGCCGTGAGGAAGGTGATTTCGTTTCTGGTGGACGGCGACTTGGTCTCCGGGAGGAAGGGCGCGGCGAGGCGCTTCCACACTGCGTCCGTGTTGAATGGGAACATGAACTCGATGGACGAGCCGGCCAGCACCGGGGTCACGATCGCGTTGACCGTGCCGTGGATGTGGTGCAGGGGCAGGAGGTGCAGCAGCCGGTCCTGTGGGGTGTACTCCCACGCCTGCAGGAGCGACGCGGCTTGCGCCGTCAGCGCGGATTGCGGGATCAAGACGCCTTTCTGGGCGGGTGTCAGCACTGTCTCTTACTTTCTTAGGGAGACGAAAAGAAAAGCATCCGTACCGGTCGGTTCGTGGTCCCGGACGTGTACAGCATCATTCCCCCGCGGGGTTGCTCTCCTTGAAGATCCTCCAAGGTCACCGACGAGGAGCCCAGACTCGTGGCCCCGGTTTCGATCTTCTTCCTCACGTCAAGTATGGGTTCCCGGTCCAGTCCAGCCTTCAGGACGTCGTGTGCCTTGTTGGCGTACTTCTCCGTAGCCAGCAGCACCTTGGCCTGGGAATTGTCCATGATGTACTTGAGCTCGCCGACCGGGAAAGCGGGGGAGAGGGGGAGGGCGATCGCGTCGCTGGCGAGGATCGAGAGAAGCGTCACTGCCGTCGTGTGTCAGTTCAAGGCCCTAGTCTCACAGTATGCGGAGGGGAACAGGACAAGCCGAACAGTACCTACGTAGTCGTAGCTGTTCTCCGCCAGGAAAGCCACCCTCTCCCCGGACAAACTATCATGACGCCCTCCTCCAGACTGTATCAGTTTCTCCTTTGCCTGTAGGACATCGGCGACCAGGTTGCCGTAAGTGAAGGAGCGAGAGGAAGCGCTGTGGACGACCGCCAGGTTGGATTGGTCGTGGTTCTGGAGGGCGCGGAAGAGAGGCAGGTTCGGCAACGAGGCGAGCGATCGACGGTTTGCTGGTATCAGGTACGCTCGAGAGCGAGCATGGCGAACCAGACGAGCAGAGGCGATTGAGCCCCGTGACAGGATTGAGATCAATGGGCGGCCTGGCATGATGAAGTTCGGACAAGCATGCGGTGCATGTTCAGCAGTCTACTCGTCTACTCGCAAGAAATCACGAACTGATGTCATTTTCAGAAGAGCTCCCGCCGCGGAGGTTGGCGGAGAGTCGGCGGTCTCGGCGCAGCGATAAGACCCTTTGCTCCGGTTATCGGCGGTTCCCCATGTCTGGAGCTTCATCCGGGGAAGAGATCACGTGAGTCGATTTGGAAGTATAAAACGGTCGAATCTTCATGTATTGTAGATCATTGAGCGTTCCAAGCCTTCTACGAGGAACTACCAGGGAGAGAAGATACCCCTTGTTGGGTTATATTTATAACAAGCTCCAATCTATCAAGAGCAGGGGGGATATATTCTAGCGGTTACCGTCTCACCTCGACTTCAAGGTGCACTGAAGGATTCCTGAACACAGAACCACGCCGCTTTCCCCTGCACTTTTGGTCAGCGGTTCGAGTCCAAGCCGTCTCTTGGTCTTTTTTTCTTTTTGTCTCTTCTTGAGACATGATTTGCAAGTAGGTCAAGTGGGCTGCGGTGAATGGAAGGCGAAGAATAGGGTGTTACGGGAAGGTGGATATTAATTCCTCAAGATGAACCAAGAGTGCTTTCCTTGCTGATGGTGATGGAAAAGTCGAGGGGAAAGTTGCCCTCTACTGGAAGAAAATTGATGAATCCGAAGAGAAGAGGCTGCAGGTACGTCAGGATTGCCTACATCAAGGCGGGTGGGTGGGCTTGTTGGTGTTTACCAGAGCAAGAAATCTGAACACCGTCTTTGGGATATCGCCGCCTTTACAATGCCACCCTATCTAGGCAGTGTCGGTAGAGAGGTGGTCTCACCAACAGTAGAAGAAGCCGTCTGCCTTGCTGTAACAGAGGGCAACCAGGATCATGAAGCCGAATTGAGTTGCCTGCTGAGCACTTTTGGAAGTTTCTATATAAGGCTATACTTCATAGCTTTGGGCATGAGGTGGGTGTGGCATTACAACCACCCAACCACAGACTTGGCTCGCTGTCAGCGTGTCAGGTGTCAGGTGAGATTGCATAAAAGCAAGTGGTTCGCCACACCAGAGCCCATCAGCCTGATAAAGAGGTTCGATCTTGGTCCATGCTCCACAGCAGCGTACATCTTCTGAGTGCTCACAGACACATTTCTCTCTATAGAACCGAAGGCCTTGCAATCATGGCCGATGGCTATCTACAGCCTGACGATGCATCACTGGCGTATCGCCAGCCTAGCCTGTTTGTAGCAGTAATTTCAGAAACGCCGACATGCCTGCTAAATCCAGGCTTTGACGGCAAGTCTGGCCATGCTCATTTTTGAATGCGTGCTGCCGGAAGGCTGGCGGCGCGAGTGTGCTCGATGCATGACGGTCAACGAGGTTAGCAGCGCATCTGATAGTCAACAGTGTAGTGTGTAGTGGAGATAGTCAACGAAAATAGGATACGAAAGACAACAGTGTAGACCACCGTTCCACTGTAGGACCAATTGCCTTGGGACCTGAAGCCTCACAGATCTCAACGAGGCAGTCTTCTTCATCTGTTAAGTCAATTGAATAAGCCGATGTGGTCAATTCGACTATCGACTTGTTGTAGATATGGTACGACGTACACCAGCACTAATCCCAAAAGGGCCATTTATCAGCCCGCAGTACCAGATGCCCCAGCCAATCACCGCCATCGGATTCTCAGCGACCTCGATCCACCAGTTCAATGAGATGGATGAATTCCTTCCATCCCGCTCCAATTGAACCCTCCGCTCGACACAACAACAACCTCATAACAGTAGATATCAACAACACCCACTCCGCCCTCTCATCCGATCAACCCTCCATATCTGAAGCAATCCGAATCCCCCACCACAAACGCACCCTCACCACCTCCCCATCCAACAGAACAATCAATCAATCAATCAATGCTTCTCCGCACCACCCGCCTCCCAGGCCTCCTCCTCCGACCCAACCGGCAATTATTCTCAACCAGCACCTCCAAAATGACCACCAACACTCCAGTCGAAGACCTCATCCGCGAAAAGGTACGCGCACCCGCCAACCATACCCCGCCCCCAAACTCCCACCCTTAACTCCCAAAAACCCCAATCAATCAAAACCAACCAACTAACCCATCCCGCCCAGCTAACAACAACCTTCACGCCCACGACCCTCCTAATCCGCAACGACTCGCACAAACACGCCCACCACGCGCCCATGCGCGACTCCACCTCCAAGGAAACCCATTTCCAGTACGTCCGACCCATCCCCCCCCCCATCCCCCAGGGCCCAACCCAGCCCAGCCCAACCCGATCCAACCCAACCCAATCAATCCAGGAACCGTTCCGTTCCGGGGGAGAACCCCCGGGCCCCCCTTCGTTTCAGCTTCCTGGCCCCCTCGGAACATCGGACAGCGCCCAGAATTCAATTCCCAACTGCCCAGAAACCCGAGGCTAATTTGAACGTCAATACCAGCGTAACAATCACTTCCTCGGCCTTCGCTTCGAAACCCCAGCCCGCGCGACACCGGATGGTCTACAGTCTCCTCAAAGAGGAGATGAGTCGGGAGGGCGGGATCCATGCGCTGCAGTTGCGGACGAAGACGCCGGAGGAGGAGGGGCGGGAGAGGGAGAGGGCGGCGCAGTTGCAGTAATGTCAAAAGATTATCATCACACAAGGCACATAATCGGGAGTTCGGTTTTGAGGTACTAGGTAGGTTTGGGGGAGGGCTAGACAATACATAATTGTACATCCCCGCATTCAGATACATATATGCATGCAACAGTTAATCGCTCCGGAGACGCGGAAATCTACGAATCGACGACGACCAAATAGCTCATCAACAGAAAGCATCATTATTATTAGAGTAGTCGATTATTACGTAAAAAAGGATTGGGACAGTGGTGGTGGCGGTGGTGGTTTCTAGCGCCCAGCGAACCAAAGGCACACTCACACACACAACACACAAGAACAACAACTCTATTATATACAATGCGATTAGCCATCCTGTGCGGATCCCCTAGCACCCTGTCGGCCTCATCACGGCCGCATAATGCCCCTCCCCTTCGAAGACTCATAAATAATACCAGCCATACAAGCAGGAAACGAAGAAGCAGGGCGCGAGAGGGAAGAAGCGAAGGGGCCGAACGGAGCATAGAGGATCGAAAAGCGCAGTGACAGGCGTGCTTTTCAACCAGAGAATCAGAAGCAACCAAGGGAAAAAAAAAAAAGAAGAAGAACAGGGTGGTATTCCAACAGAAAAAGAAGAAGTAAAAAAGGACTCAAAACTGGAAATAGCAATCAGCCCCGTGGTTGTCCAATTGTCCGCCGTAGGCGCAAAAGCACAAACTTGGACTAGGACAAGGGGCGCAGTCAATTGATTCGTTACAGCCTGGCGTAAAAAGTGCGACAACGGGATCGGTCATGGGGATCTAAGGATCGACGTGGATAACCGCATTGATCTGACCCAAGTCGGCTGGTTCGAACACGGCCATTTGGTGTTAGCTTGGAACGAAGCCGGCCTCATTTCTTGTTGGCTTCGGTGACACCAACGGCTACACCAACGACGATGGCGATGATGAGGACTGGATGCATGTCAGCTGCGTCCGGAGCAATGACCTCGGTGATGGAAAGCTACTTACTAACGACCAGCAGGGCGTACCATTTCCACTTTCTTGCTCGGCGAGCACTGGCAATGGCTTCCGTGATCTGGGTGTTGGCATTGGCGACGTTTCCAGCGACGTTCTCGGCGTCTTGGCTGATCTGCTCCACAGCAGGCTCCTGCATGTGAACCAGCTCCGCGACCTCCTGGTACAGTCGGCCCAGCTCGATCATATCCTGCTCAATCTTGCGAATAGCGGCCGAACGCTCCAAGGCAGCCTGTCTGGCGTCGTTGGCCTGTCTAGTACGGCTACCAGTAACCTACAGCACTTATTAGCAAGTCACTCAAGGCAATCGCAGACCGGGCCCATCATACCTGGAAGCTCTGCTCCTGGCCCATCAGCACGCTGTCCACACCCTGCTCGATCTCCTCGGGAGTCGCCTCGGGGTTCGCGATCTCATAACGTCTGCGAACCTGCTCTCTCAGACGCTTCTGGAAGTCGGACTGGCATCGCTGGTACTGTTCAATCTCGCGACGGAGGTTGCGGCTGGTGACGTCGACCTGCGTCTGGACGCGGTTGTCTCCGGAGCCCGGAGTCTGCTTGATCTTTTTCAGCAGATCACGGAGGTAGCGGAAGCCGTTGTTGATCTCGTCCTCGATGTAATCCAGAGTCTGGCGGGCGACCTGGTCTTCCTTTCCGGTGCTGGAGTCGAGCATGGCGTTCTGGGCGGCGGCCAGCTGGCCCTCGCGCTTGGCCTTCAGGTCCGCGATACCATCGTTAATCTCCCTGCACTTGTTCAACAGCGTGGTGGCGTCGGCCGGCTGTTCCGCAATCGCATTCATTTCTGGTGGGGCGGAGAGCTTGCGTTAGGAGACTGGTTGTTTCGCATGACAGGTCCGAGCTGCGGCGCGCTTACCGTAGGTGCCGTTACCCTGGCCCTGCTCGACGGCATTGGCCTGGTCATAGGGGTTCTGGTTGTAGCCCTGCTCGCCATAGGGGTTGTACTGGCCGTAGCCACCCTGATTACCTCCGTACTTTGTTGTTCACAGGTCAGCAATCAAGATTGATCTGCGCATGAGCTCAGGAGTCAGGGGAGGGGTAGCAGCGGCGATCGCGGGAGCTCGTGGCCATGCTCTAAAAGGAGACATACACTCATTGTGATATGATGTCAAGGCTGTGAATAATTCGAGATGGAAGTTTCGTAGTGATAGCGTCACTAGGGGCTGTGTTGCGGAAGAATCAAGACGAAGGCTCGAAAGGGTGTAATTCGCAAAGCGATCGGAGCTCGGGTCGTACGGGAAACGACGACGGGGGGGTTAATAGCGCGATCGACGGTAGATAGGATGAGATGAGTTCGTTCCGACAGGGAGGAGGGGTCGAGACGAAGGAGGGCGTGTAGGAGGGACGAAGGTGAGGTGAAATGAGGAAGAGAGGTCGAGGATGGGACGTTGGAAAAAGAATAGGCAGTAGTTTTTGAGTTTGAGTTGAGGTAAGAATTGAAGGGCGAAAAGAAAGAGTGACGGGTGAGACACACACGGCGGCGGCTGCTGAGCCACGGGCGCGGAGGCGGTTGAAGGAATGACTGCTGGTAAGGATTGGATGGCTTGGAGGGCTGGGATGGACTGGCTGGCTGGATGGCTCTGGCCCGCAGACGGCAATTCAATTCCTCTCGACAAAAACAACAACAGCAGCAACAACAGAAATGAAAATGAAGGTATAGAAAAGAAGAACAGTTAAAGGAATGACTGGAGAGTTAGGTGGTTAGTTAGCAGAAAAAGGCTGCGTTTCAAAACAGCAGTCTCCTCCTCTTTTCTCTAGGTCGGTCACAGACTCTCAGGTAAGTCAGGGGGTGAAATCTGCGCGCACAGCAATTTTTCGCCCAATGTATAATTAGTAGGGGGGGGCTTCCAAGCTACTGCACAGACCAGTGGACGATCCTCGAGTCCCCTTTTTGCTTCCCAAGAAGCAGGAGGGTAATCAAAACAATAATCTAAGTTGAGGAGTGGTGAAACAAGGGAAGGACTGAGCTGCGATGGGGCTAAACGGCGGGTTTGAAGTCGACAGATCTGATCTAATGGACTGATCATTGTATACTCCGTAGTCCTCTGCGACATAAGTTTCTTTGCTCATCTGCAGATAGAGGTTGTACAATACTGTACTTTGTCAACCCGTGCAGCTCCAATCCAGATGTGGATGTGCTGCACTCAATCTCCGGACGCCAAAGTGGGATGAAGGCGCTCTCTCCAAGTCTCGCGACTAATCGAGCCCTTGAACCAATTCCTACTACAAACAGCCCTATGCTTGAGTGGAATGTTCCAGCAGTCCAGCACTGCGTGGACTCTATACACACTACACACAGTATACTCAAGTATACTCCCCGTATAGCAGAAGAGGGGCAGGAACATTCTGCACGTCATTGACATGACACCAACCCGATTATGCTAGAAGAAGAGCTTGAACGGTCCTCCCCACTCTTGGCTGGCCCGAACAGTCAATTGGAAACTACCGTATCAATTGATTAACCCAGTTCCTCAACAAACTGTGACCAACCCTCGTAGACCGCTTCTCTGCGAAAACCATTCCCCACAACCAACAGGTATCTCGAAATAAAATATGAAGTGAACCATCCCGTCAAGTTTCACCCATCATCCCAGAGATACGAGTCAAGCTCGTCGCCTCAGAAACAGTTTCTTGCGTTATCTCCGCCACCATCAGTATGAGAACGTTGCAGGCAGCTCCACAATCCCCGGAGACCCTGTGGCCACTGGCCTGGTGTGTCCGCACGTCAGAGATGGTCACCTATAATTAGCAACCGATTCCCAACGTGCAGCCAATCTCGTAGATTGGAGAACGAGTTCGCTGTGTGTGGTGGGTGGGCACTGCCCCGTTGTACTGGACACCACTGACAACTGGACACGCCACACTCTGATTCGAAGGGACTTCTCGGTGGCTCAGCAGTTCGTTGTGGCTGGGAGACTTTCCTTGTTCATACTCCCAACGCGCTGTTCTACTATAAGTATATACAATAGTCTATCTGCCAACCGCTATCATTCAAAGAAAGCACATGGACATTGCAAGTATCTTCGTAAATCACGATCCGCCCACTGTAACTTCCGGGACAGTAACAAGTCCCCTCTTTGCTCATCAGGTATAGCAACCGGTGGAGAATAAATCCACGGCCAGAGACACACTTGTCAGCCACATCACAATCTGAACCGAGATCCCCCTCATGGCAACAGAACCCAGGAGATACTACTACACTGCTTCCAACAGCACAGTCCACATCATCATCTGTCCTTCCGAAACATGCAGAGCCTGCAAGCATAGCCACCTTGCATCTCGAATCTATATGTCTGCATGCAGGGATCTACCATATGCACGACGGGAAATGAGATCCCGAAGCTCTGATCTTCGAAAGAGAGAAAGCCATGCCACAAGGATCCCAGACTCAATCTGTTCAGTCGCTGAACTATGGCATTTCTAGGGGATAGACCCTGCAGTGCTCGTAACTGCTTTCGACTTCCCATCTTCCATATCGAGATTCGCCCACTCATTCGTCTATAATCCCTGACTGAAATCGTGGCCGCTGCCAGAAAAACCCGGGGAAGTAGACATAAATGGAACGTGCGTTTTCAATGGACTCTAGGTCCCTTGCCTGGAGGCTGATCGTGTAGAATTGACTTCCACACGAGACTCATCGTGCCATTCACCAAGAACCCATGTAAAGCGCACTCTATTCTTTCAGGCATCCTATTGAGCACGTGTCTCCAACAATCCCTGAACAAGCAAACAAGCTGCCGGGAAGTATCTCAAGCCAGCCAAGCTACAACATTCAAGAAGCTGCCCATACCTGCAAAAAGACCTATGGCCCCCAGTTGGACAATTGCGTCCCACGCAACCAAACACCGCGAATATGAAGCACAAAGCTCAAGTGCATAGAAACTGGCTCTGGTCGTCATCTAAACTCTTATATCAAATGATTGAAATCGTAGGCCAACCTCTCGAGGGCCTGGGTTACCGGTGGCTGCCTCCGGTCAGATCAGTGCAGATGTCATGTTTCTTCGAGGATGAGTTCTTGCACTGTACCGCATCGAGCAAGCAGTATTTCGAGCAAGCGCCTTTCCAAGCAAACACCTCTCTTCCAAGCACATAACCACCAAACATTTTTGCAAGCCCACATCAAACAGTCAACGATCCCCCAATGGATATTGCATGGCCAAAAACCACAACTGGCGAACAACCCTCCTTTGATCCGATGCCCGCTACAACGATATAGACCTCGTAAGCACCAGACAATCCACTATACAGCGATTGCAAATAGTTTCGACAAGTATGTACCACATAAGCATCAAGGTTCTTTGTATCTTCAACTTCAACCAGCTTTTTGTATTCATCGATTATACCCCGACAAACCAGCAGCCACCAATGACCCTTTGACTAGAACTTCAGAATGGTGAAGCTAGGCTCCCGCAACCAAGATACACCCGTGCTATTGACACTCCATCGATATCCTTGTGACTCCGAATGGGCCAGCCAAGTACTGTACAAGCCCCCCCCCCCCCGAAAAAGTCAACAAGAAGTATGACTAGCCCCAGTAAGCGAGGGTGGAGGTAAGAGTCCGTACTGACAAGACTTTCCAGGCCGAGCACAGCAGCACATTCCACTGGCCTACAACCAGATACACCCGCTACATCTACCCACTACACTGCAAATGCACGCATCTCCGAAGCATGGAGATAGACCGAACTCAGCCAACAGCAGCCTCCGCGGTCCAGTTGACTCATACTCAGACTCATACTTGCATGAGATCCCACGAACCCACAAATCCCAGGTACGGTACTAGAGCCCCCGCATCCACATCCACATGGTTTGTTTTCTGAGCATCAACATCCTCGTGGTGTGTCAACGGTAATCTATAAGCGAAAAGTCCCAACCAATCTAATACAGTGCAATACAATCCAAAGCCAGCAGACCTAGAACCTGAGCCCGTACTGTAGATATATAGTAGATCCGGTAGACTAGACCAGACCACAGCTTCTAGTTTCCAGCTTCTAGAAAAAAAACCCCCCCCTCTTCCAGAAGAACCAGAAGAAAAAGAACAACCGAACCATGGATTTGAGAGATTCAAACTGCCCAGCCAGCCTTGCAGTCTGCGTCCAGCGCATCCTTCCACTCCGGCGGGGTTCAGATGCGCTTAGTCAGTTTCCGCCCACCAGCGGGAATGACCACTACAAAAAAA